GGGGTCCCGGCCGCAGCAGTGGCCCCTAGCAGCGGCCCGGTGGGGCTGCGGGCAGCTCCCGCTGGCGCTGGCGGCTTCCTTCCCCTTCGCCCTCCTCCCCTCGGTCGGTGTATCCAGCGTGGTTTCTGGGCGGTTTTAAGAAGCACGTGCAGCTGTGTGTGCGCTGGAAAGGCGAGCTGAAGTATTTCACTGTTTATGTGGAAGAGGGGGTAGCGAGACTTGATGAGTCTTGCTTATTGTCAAGAAATTCTAGGAGAACTCTTCTTATGAGCAAAGTTGCAAAACAAGGGGTGTTTGGGGTTTTGTTGGGAGTTTTCATGTTATCTTTTATCTCGGTGTGATCCTCTTAAATACGTTGTGCCAAATCATGAGGTACCCTGAGGATTTCTGGTTATTGGGGAAGGCATTGTAGAGTAGGTGACAGGTTCAGTGGTTTCACAGGTGCAAAGGAGATGGTCTGTTACTTGTTCTAGGGGCAGGGTTGAAATAATTACATCCGTTACGAAGCATCCTAAAGATCATCCTTAAAGAAGGAAATGTTGTCCCGTCAGTTTAATTAGAGGGTAGGCTATAGAAAAGATTGTAGAAACTTTTGGACACCCTTTTCTTATTTGTTCTTAAAAAAGCGCTGCTGTTAATTCTGCAGGGGCGAAGTGCCCTGCAAGATACCATGCATAACTGCATAACAGAAGTTATTTTTGTCATTTAACTGGCAGCTTTTGTCAGGTACTGAATGCAGGCACACGAGAGGACGTGAGACTTGTCTCTCTAGTGATAATCAATAAAGTTTGCCCTTACAGTTGTAAGAATATGTGCAGTATGACTAATGAGTAGTCAAGTCTGTATTGGGGTTATGCTTTGTCATGTTTTTTGCCTGGAACTCCTAGTTTGAATAATGTGGGGTTTTTTTTCTTGCCTCTGTAGGCTGGTTGGACTCCCTTACACATTGCCGCTTCGGCAGGCCGTGATGAAATTGTGAAAGCCCTCATTGCCAAGGGTGCTCATGTAAATGCTGTCAATCAGAACGGCTGTACGCCCCTGCATTATGCAGCCTCCAAAAATAAGCAGGAGGTATGTTTGCCTATGCTACTGGAGGTGGTGTTGCTCTTGGAAGAAGTATTTAGTTATATTAACTTTTCCTCCTCCTCCCCCCCTCCTTTCTCTTTCTACATACTCAGATTGCGATCATGCTTTTAGAGAACGGAGCTGATCCGGATGCAACAGATCATTTTGAATCCACCCCATTACACAGAGCAGCAGCCAAAGGAAACCTAAAAATGGTACAGATCCTTCTGCAGCACAATGCATCTGTTAATATACGGGACTCTGAAGGGAATACTCCTCTGTAAGTAATTTTTTTTATTTTTATTTTGCTTAATATAGCACAAACTATGAAATGAAACTCCATTACTTCAGTTTCTTTTTTAATTTCTTGTTGCCTCAAAATACTCCCTTGCAGCACACCCCTATGTAGTTACAAAGGATTTGAGAAGATCATACTTAATATTTTGCCTAAGTGTGACTGTACATACGTACTTTAATTTGTGTTACTACATCTACTTAAAAAGTGTAGAACACCTTTTGTAATAATTTGGAATATGTTTGGTTGCCACTAGAGGGTAGAAAGAGAGCTAATGACTTCAAAGCCGGAAGAAACTGGTCTTGCAGGTTGGCCTACTCTGTCCTGCCAAGCATGAAATAATTTTGGAAGCTCTTCTTCGCCTCTCTAAGGAAAATAAGTTGCAATTTAAGTACAGTCGGTCCAGCGTTTGATATTACCTTAAAGACCAATTTGAATCTGTAAGGGTAAAACCTTAGCTGCTTTGAAGTTGGTGGCAAAACTCTGCCTTGTCTACAGTGGTATCAAGATTTTGCTGTGAATAAGATCAAGCAGTATGTTTTAGCTATACATAAAACCCAGTATTGTCCTGGGACACACTCATTTATTCTCAAGATACTATGCCAAATGGAAAAAAGCATTTGCTGCATTTGCAGTAACTCTTTATTTTTAAGCATCGTACGATTTAGTTTATCACTTTTGATTCAAATCGAGATTACTATTTTCCAATTTCACTGTGAATTATGTGCTCCTTAGCTTTGCTGACTGCAGAACCAAATCCTAATCTAAAGAAGCGTCTTAATGTTGCGAGGACAATAGCAGGAGGAACATTCTTGAGTTGCTTAATGACAACAGAGTGACTGGACAGCAAGCTTTGGAATCTGTGTAGGTAGTTGGTTGCGTGTGGTTTTGTTGTTCTAGGATGTATCTCCCCCCCAACATTCACGCTGTCATTTTGACAAGGCATAATTAATGCTCTTCGTAAGCTTGGACTGTTTAATAGTGGCTGTGGGTTTCTTGTCCTTATTACAGTCATTTAGCCTGCGATGAAGAGAGAGTGGAGGAGGCAAAGCTGCTGGTGTCTCACGGTGCAAGTATTCACATTGAGAATAAAGAAGAGCTGACCCCACTAAAGGTGGCAAAAGGTGGCCTGGGAGCCATACTTAAAAGAATGGTGGAAGGCTAGTGGGGACTTCTGACTTGAGTCTCCTTCCTGTTGCACTTGTATTTAAGACTGCAAACTTCGTATTTTGGTAGTTCAACTGGGATGTCGCGTATGGGCATCAGCATGGTATTAAAATGTGTATCTCTAGCTTTCCTTCAAGTACAGTGCCAAAACAACTGTTTGTACTTCCCGTTAATTAAACAGTTCACTGATTTTTAAAGTATTTTTCTATGTCTTGCAGTTTTCTTTCAGTTTACAGTATGGTCTGTATAAATGCGGTCAGTCCTTCTATTTCAGAACCTAGTTTAGGATTATTTCTTTCAAGCAACAGGACCAAAAATGCTTTAATGATTTAAAGCCAATTTTATTTTGGAAGCTTAATCTAGAGTCTCTGTTTTTTCCCTTAGCCTTTGTGATTTGTGTGTGGTTTTCTGTTTGGTTTTTGTGGGTACTGATTCTCGTCCTTCAGATGATTCTAAACTACACCTCTCCCTTTGTAGAAGGCAGTTTGCTCAGTTACTTAGATAATTGTATCCATTTTTACTCTTCTTAGCCTATTCAAGTGAGCTCTGAGTGTTTAAAGCTTTTCTGTTGTTATCTATTGTTATCCTGTTTCTTTGAATCTTTAAATATATGTATTTGATGAAGTGCACTGGACTGCTTGCAGAATGCAGGCGCAGTTTCAGGGCTACCTCTGCAAATATACTATTATATAATGGATGGCTCTGGATACTTCTCTGGGATATATTTTGCATCTACTTTTATTTCCTCTTGCTCCTTCTGTAGATTTCTTTTGCTGTTCTGTTTGACTCCCATTATGTAGCACTGACGCTTGCAGTTTACCATCTTATTTTATAACAGAAGCCTGGTTTAATCTTTATTTACTCATAGCAAATCCTGATATTAAGTTATTAGAAGGCAGAGCTAATGAGACGGAGTCTGAAAAGTGACCTTCTGTTCTGAAGTTTGTAAGATCACTTTTGACGCTAGTGGCATAGGTTTCCCCTTTC